GTAGGCATTGTTGTGCCTGGTTCCTTACAAGAACGTTTTGAGAAAAACCGTGTTTTCGAAAACGAGTGAAATATATTTTACTGGGCGTATACAGTATGTAGTGACTTTTAGGTTCCCGTTTTTCACCATCCAATCTGTTCATAGTTTTCCTATGCGAAATGTGCACCTCCTGGCTGTTGACAAAGAGGTGCTGGAGTGTTTTTTCCTCCTTGCAGAGCACACATCAAAATTGAGGTCAGAAATAACCGTTTTTGCTCTTCTGGAAATATAAACTTTTTCATGGTTCTGTTGTTCAATCATTCCGTCTTCATTTTGGGAAAGAATCTTGAGTACCAGCTTCACTATGTTGCTTGAAATGGCTAATGAATACGTGATGGAACTTCTAGAGGGTAAAACAATAGGAATTCCCAGTTTCTGTTTAGCAAGAACAATATGGCAGTCGTACATGTTTATCCACACCGGAAAGGGTCACATACCTGAGTTCCGGGGGTATACGACAATCACACATGCACAACAATGCAGTTCTTTCATAACTACTTTCAGGTGAATCAATATGCAGGAGACCAGATATCTTAGGTAATCAAGAAAGTTCCGATGTTAGGGGAAAGATGTTGGTTACATTTCCAATGCTTTGTGTATACCAGAATTCATGGAAGAAGGAATTAAACTGGATACGGTTTGACAACACTATTTTGACGTTTTGAGAAATAAGTGTCTGTCACAATGGATTTTGGCATCAAAAGCGCAAGCAGCAAATGATAAATTTTTTCTCAACATTTCTTGTCATTCCAGCTTTCCAGTCATATCATTCTGCAGACTGACTCTTTAAGCATGGATTGGTCGTCCATTCTTTTTGTGAAGCACACAAGATGACACAGTTGACACACGCTACAATTTGAATCCTAACTGGTCATTCTCATTTGTATAGGAAACCATACACAGCGAAATTCGATTACCCCAAAATCCAACCACTTATCAGCAGGGAAAATAGAGCGTTTACTGAAAAGCTGTTTCAACCTAGTTGGGTCTCATTAGCAGTAGGAATCCATCGAAGCAGCCGACGACCGAACGCCGGACCGCACAAATAGGACGCAAGCATGCTATTGGATCACTGGAAGGCTGATCAAACTGTTTTTCTTCGTCTGTGCATGAAGTAGCGCGGACCATCTTTGCAAGCATATTACGAGCCACTAGTCTCACTCTAGTCTCCTGGAGTTGTCATAAGGAAAGTTCCGTACCTAATTAGTTGATGCAAGATTGGTCAATCGGATGCCTCGGAATGGTTTCCTAGTTGGGTTGATGGATTCGCCGTGTTGATGACGCCTGTTTTTTGAGACCTTTTAGTGCACATTACCTTTGATCTGTAGGAATGAAAGTTCATCCTCTTACCAAATTCAATCCGCTTTCGTGATTTCATTTGTTACATTGAATGATCTCAATACAATCCAGCTTGCCTTTACATTTTCCCTAAGCTGTGGACAACACGAGTTATCCATTTAAAGCGTACAAAAAAGGTTTATTGTAATTGCATGGTGTGGCAATCTAATCGAACCTTGCACCTCAAAACTTACAATGTTTACGCTTGAATAGGGGTGCTTTCGGTAGAACCATCACTCGTCCAGGTTCCCACAATAGTGGCTTGTTTTTTATCGGTCTCGCCATACCCGCTACCTCAGAAACATTTAGTGCGTACCCTGAACTCATTGATGAAATAATTTCAATTAACTCATATCGACTGTTTTTAATCCGAAGATGAGGAGATACATTGTGAGTGAGACCTTCATCGAACTAGATCCACAAGGCCTTTGAGCTTCAAACTTACCGAAAACCCACCAACACGANATGACGAGGTCACTTAGGGGTACTGGCAGTAATACATTCACTGACGGGCAAATGTGATAGTACACTCGTGCACGATTCGGCTGTCAGCTTTTTTACACACATATATATGATAAACAGCAGACGAAGCAAGCCCCATAATCTCGCGGACCTGTTATTTGATCATGGAAACCGGAATTAGAGTGGTGATTCAAATAAGAACCCACTATGTTGGTGTGGTATTGAGCTGGATGTCAGCGAAGCTCCGTACCATCAAAGTTGGGTAGCAGTGGCGGATTTGGAACCTCAGACCTCAGGGACAAGAGCACCCCGGTGATAGCGATTGAAGCCACTTGGCCATCGCCAATCTGATCCCAATTGATAGATGTTGAATCGATGTAAGTGTATACATTAGGAGTTTGCTACAAAGTATAGCCTCTGACAGTTACAAGTTGGAGTTGCCCGTTTTCGTTATGTCACTTTGGAGATAATACAAGTGGTTAGGTCACTAACTTGTAACCTAGGAGTCCTGGGTTCGAACCGCTCTCCCGCCGTCCGTCTTTCCAGGCAGCCTTCCTGAATGTTGACTGTAAATTTTTTTTATATTCGATAGATAAAAAGGAAGTAAAAAGATAAAGATATTGTGTTTGAATCCCACCACCGCTGTCAAATGCACTTTAAATTGACCGCCTCTACCTTCTTAAAAATTGTTTTCCCAAGTACTTTTTTATAGAATAAAGGAAAACATAAAAGAGGAATGGGCCTATATATATATAATATAATATAATGTTATATATATGTATATATATATATATCACGTTTCAGGCCGGACTATTTACCAAGAAAATCTCGGTAAAATAATAATAATAATAATAATAAATAGTTCCATGATTTGCATGTGGGTGAAACATTGTCAGGTTGCCCAGGTCAAGGCAGGTGAATCTTCTTAGAGAATTCATAACCGGAGCCTTTCGGCCAGCCAAAGCCTGACCCACAAGGCAGTGGAGTGGTGTCTAAGAGCCACACTCCATTGGGGGCCGGTGCTCAATACCCCTCGAGGTCACATTGAGCCGGTCACCGCTGCTCCAACCGAGAGGGCGTGTGTGTGCTCCGTACGCCTCTTTGTTGGTTTGGAATCAAGATTTTTGACTAACTCATCTAAGTAAACTGACAGGGGTTCACCGATCCGGTTATAGCTCCGGATGTTAGCTTTTCGTTTACTTTGGTGGGAAAACACCTCCGCTACAAGAAGGCAGTAATTAGGGCTTCCTCGACAGGAGCGATTTGAGACGCTTGGTCGTATAGAAGCATTTCTCGAGGTGCAAAGAAAGGGTGAACAGCCACAACCCTAGACGCCCACCTCCGTCCGTACTGAGTCTTTCGTAGGCGAGGTGTGACACCTCGAAGTCATTCTCCTGCTATGTCGCACCCTTCAGGCCTTCGAAAAATTGCGCAGATTCCAGAAACTGCGACACAGCATGTTAGTCAGTAGTGTATGCTTGTAAGTAGTTTAAAAATGTAATTAGGATATTTGTGACAAAATAAGCAGGATTGATGAAAACTGCGTTACTTCTGTTACTTGTTCTCATGATTTGTTGTTACGTTCTGTTTATTTAAAGATGAATTCAAGTAGACATCATCACGTCGTCTTGATTTATCGAGGAAATCTCGATCTTTCATGAAGCCCTCAGCTTGACTTTAGAATGGGGCACTTTCAATGTGGCCGTTTTTTTCAGTTTCAGGTGGCTAATTTATCTTGAAACTACTTACTTTTTCTTCTTGGAAGTTTTCTAACTGAAGTACTAAATTTCAGTTCTATTCCAGCTATAATAACATTAGGGCACCGTTGACGATTCAGACTAGATCGTGTGTACGTGATATAATGCTTTGGAACCGAATACCACACCCGTCTGACCAAGAGCGAAGGAAACCTTTGGAAACTTTGAAGTCACTATGATGCGTTATTTGTTTTAGTTCAATTACCTGATGACATACGATGCTCCCGCCATGGGTGACTTACCTTGATTTTCCACCATGGCAGCGAACCATTCCAAGGTCACCTCCTCAGCTGCATCGAACTTTCCTGAGACGACAAACTCCGATAACCGTTCGATTGGATGTAGCATTGTAAACAGTTTTCTTGAAATACCAGATGATTTGGCTACGGAATTCTGAGTTGCACCTGGCCCATTCAATATGTTCTACACATTGTGCCTCTTTCTGTTAGACAGGCGCTTGCACATTGTCACGACTTGGACTGCTGGCGTCCATGTGCCTTCTTCACAATGGTTATCTGATCAGTGAACAGCGTCATGTGTGCATCACACTAGGTGAAACGTCATTGATTGAACGCTACATTGCACGTGGGATGGTGAATGGTCGGTCCCTACATCGGTCAACGAGTAAGTATTAGGAGGTGCGACATACTGACGGGAAGAGATTGCATAGTCAGGACCTACGTTGTTACATATACGGTTGGTTTGGGTTTGCTGAAAAGTGGTAACAGAGTGGAAAATACATCTTTTCATGGGTGCAACATAGCAAGAGATTGACTGTATCTTCATCGAAAATGGCTCCCGTGATCCTTCGTTTGAGTGGGTTGATAAAACTGGCCCCGTGAGATACACGTGTACTATTTATGTTTCGTTTTTTGAACTAGCTGTACATATTGTACATAATTTCTGAGACACGGAAATGACTGTTTCTTGAACATCTAACAGCTGCAGCCAGTGTGTGAGTGTGCTTTAGCTCGATTCAAGCTAACTCGGAAAACTAAAATTCCGATTGGTTTCAAATAAGGCCCTTTGTATATGTAGCATGAAGAAAAATCTATTTGCATCGTGCTGTTTTACAAATAGATGGAAGTCAGTAGTACAGTAGTAACCTGTGTTTGCCTGAAAATGCGATTGGCTTTCTATATTTAGTGTGCTTTGTTGTTGAAAAATTGTAAGCAGAGATATTACGGAGACACTTAGTTAATCCCACGCGAAGCTTAGTTTTAACAAGACGAGCCAGGTGGATATATTTCGTGCTAATCTTTTGATTTATGATTTAGCTGGCTTTTGCCCACCCATATCGGCTCGTAGCTTAGATGCGTTTCAATTCGCTATCAAATAACTGGTGTTTGGGTTGCACCTGATATAAACACCGATTGTTTTCCGCAATCCGGGCACAAACACACGCGGAGTTCGTTGCGTTTGTTGTGCAGGTCCATGGTTTACCCTATCACGTATGGTTTGCGGAAGCGTACATTACGGCCAGTTGATAAGCTGCCTTATTGATCAAACTGAACACTGAGGGAATCCCTAAAACAAGTGCGAATCATATTTTTGTAAGGAACGGCTACTGCGCCGTATTCGAGGCTCCCAGGGGAAACGCACAACAAGTGTACTCTTGCCGTGATAGTCGGACGCGATGGGGTCGTCGCACGAATGGCTTTAAATGCAACTGTGTTCCCTCTGTTCCCCCTCACTGGAATATACCTATTCTACATCATTTCTTTCATTTTTTATATGCATTTACTTGTTTAGGTCTATAACATCACTTGCCTCAAACGCATCAAGAAAGACTGATGTTCTTTTCATCTGCATCTTCTCAACTCCTGATAGCGTACAATCCCCGAATACACCCTACTGCTGAGTACTGCGGTCCCGTTTGGGGCCGGTCCGTCGCCTGTTGCGCTATCTGTTCTTGATTGTCTTCTACTTAAAGCTATCCGTCTCATTGATGAACTAACGCTAGCCTCTTCTATTCTTTACCGCGTTAATTTCTCGGTTCCAACTTCCCCTCCGTTCACGCGCCCAAACATCAAACAGATGTTGAGCCATCCCTTAGCAAGTGGTTATCCTGTTGGTCTCATTTCTGACTTTGGTTCATCCTGTGTGTCGAGAATCACTTAACTGTGGAACGCATTTCCTCGCACTACCTGTCCTCTTTCTTACGATCTTCATTTACATACTAAACACCTGTCTGTACCTCAGTTCACGGGCTGCCAAGATTGTCTGATATGTAAACCGCAACATAATCTCTCCTAATTCACAACAGTTCGTAAGACC